ATCGTGGTGGTTCACAGGTTCTTTCCAAATCATAGTGGTTTCGTACCTAAATCTATTCCTTTTCTTATCGGTCCACAAATGTAGAAACTCAACACACGTTTTGCGTACCATTTGCGGAATCCAAGAGCTTGTTTTTCATTTCTACTCTATGAAGTGAGGGCAACTTACAAGTTTTTGGTTTTACAGATGCGGATACAGGATTGCCATTTTTGAGATGTGTCGAAAAAGGGAAACGACAACAGAACACTGAGAGGAAGGAGTTTATAGAATCCATTGATAAGAAGCGGTGGGCTGTAAGTTTAAATATGTTGATACAAAGTTTACGTTTAACCTGCGTTTCAAGGGTTAGTGTGGATATTCCACGGGTAATGTACATTTTTGCCGGATAAAAGTAACCTATGTACTAATCCTAACTATAATCTATCTCGGTGCCAAATTTTATCCAGATCCGTTGAGCTGTTCTGACGTGGTTGAGTAACAAACATCCATCCATCCAAACTTTCGTATTTAGAATATTAATTGGAATTCTTTATTTTCAGAAGTACTTTATTTAATATTATTATTTTTTCTATAATTAATGAAAAATAGAATATAAAAAAATACAATAATTGATAATTATTATAATTATTATATAGTATTCATATAAAAACTAAAAAAAAATGACTTTGGCCAATATAATAATAAAATGTACAGATTCGGCTTAGTTACAATTTTATTATATGTATAGATTGTTGGATCTAGATATATTTTTACAATTATAATATAAGGATGTAGGTAATCTATTGTATAAAACAAAAATCACGCATATTCCCTATTGTAGAAGTATGACCTATAAATTTAATATAGGTTTTTTTTTTCAGGATTTGATCGAAGCCCTCGATATAATAGAGCCTCTGCGTCAAGAGGAAGATGAAATGTCTGACTAAAACTAAAGTTAGCTCGAAAATGGTTGAGCAATAAAGTGCTTTGAAAAATTACAAAATATCAATATGAGCTGCCATTTTAAATAAACCCAAAGAATAGGTTTTTAGGTGACTAAATAATAGTTTTTTTTTATATAATATCTCACTCTTGTTACCATAAATGTAAAAAAATTACGTAGTTTAGTTGATTGGTATCTTTTTTGTCACTATCGTAATAATGGTTATATTGTTTTTTTTTTAATTTCCTTAATTATTTTATGAATAATAGTTAAATCTCGTATATAATTATGTCGTATGTGTATCTTTTTAATCGCTAATACTAGCGATTTATAAGCTGTTGAGCAAGTTGAGGTGATTGTTTTTTTTGTTTGAAAAATTGGAGTTTTTTAGAAAATCGATATAGATTAAAAAGTTAAAAAAAAACCTTATCTCAATACAAAATTTGATCCAAATCGTTAGAGCCCTTTCCGAGATTTATGTGTATACAAGAATTGCTCATTTTTTATTATTAGATTCCAAATCACAATTTCTGTAAAGGTGCTTCCGCACAATAATCGCGTTTTTTACAAGTCATGAAAACTTTTTAAATTTTCGCGTTCTGTAATTGTAAAATAATGTCACTACGGGACTTAAACGCTTAAATTTTATCCGTAACCGTGTAGTGCCACAAACTTATCTTGACCCGGTGGCCAAAACCGGAACTACGTGGCGCCATTTTGAAATGTCGTTTAGTTGTCAAGTTTTGTCTTGGAATCCAGCCTCCAAATTACACACATATGATCTTCATGTTCATAATTATAACATTAAAATATAATTCACTAGCGAACTAGAAAAACAAAAGCAAATATCCCATGGGAACCGTACATTTTTCCGGGATAAAAAACAGATCCTTTCAGCAATTCTGGTGTGATTGAGTAACAAACATCCATCTAAACTCTCACATTTATAATATTAGTAAGATCAAAAACGTGTTGTAAAACTAAAACAGCAAATTAACATTTCGATTACTCTTTTTGCACTTGGGCTATGTCATTATTTTTACCTTAAAAACTACAGAAATTCTATTTATCGGCAACACTAAATTCAACAACAGCGACGCCGTTACCGGTTCAGATAAGTTTGTGGCACTATACGGATCATGCGTGTAGAATTTTACGCCAACTAGCTAGTGGCAGAAACCTGAATTTATTGGGATCATTTTTAAATAATGTCAAATTGTTGTTTTTTAATTTGATTACACTAAGTATTTTTTTATACATACCATAATTATCGACAAGGCAATGGTAGCCCAGTGGTAATGCACAAGACACGAACTGTTTCGTACGAAAGTCTGCCTTCAACAGGCCATTGTGAACTACTCACCCTCGCTTCGCTCGGGTCCGCCCCTAACTTAATACCCCATACAAATTTTATCCCCATTTTCACCTCCTTAAGGGATGTTTTCCGGGAGAAAAAGTATCCTATATCCTTCCCAGGGTCTCCAACTATCTTCTTACCAAATTTCATCTAAATCGGTTCAGTAAATCCAGAGATTATCTACCATGTCACAAACTCACCAACTTTACCTCTTTATAATATTAGTATAGATGTACAACAATGATTTTCTTAACGCAAATGATCTATAGGGGGACAATAGTGCTGCCCTCTACATTTCGCGCACGGTCCCCATACTATCATTATTATGTAGTTCATAAAAAGTTGCCAATTGATTGGTGGTGTCGAGTGTCGACTACGCAATTTAAATGTTATTTTGACGAAAATTTAGTTTTATAGTTTCTATTATATGAGTAGATGGCGTTGAAAGCGCACGAGTGTACTCGCGGGCTCGATCTGGTACAAATTAGACAAGATTGCTACGTTTATATCGTATTTAATCAAAATCATTTTTTTTATATATAATAATAAAAGGGACAATATGTTTTGACCGGTGTGCCTATTAAAATGTGCCCGTTGGTATGTTTAGTAGTTAACTAACGCGCTAACTCTTTCACTTTAATCTGTCTTTTTAAAAATTGATTTAATTCACTCCACGTCCAATATAATAATCTAGATAGTACTTACTTCGGTTTAAATATCTCTATTTTTAACGTATGCAAAAGTCTTCGTTAACGAAGACGAAGAAGGTTTGTAGGCTGTGGTACAATTCTTCTAGTGCCTATGACGTCATTTTAGATAATCACTAAAGTAGGCCGGCCGGTTTTAAACGTGAAAGCATATTTTTATAATAATAATGTATTGAATACCAAATTTCTAAACGTTGATACGTTTTGTATATTCAATTGTATATTTTTTATGAAATAAATGTTCATTTTTGTATTTGTTGTATTTTTTATTTTAGGTAGAGATTCCACCCATTTTATGAAAAATATTAAATATTTAATATTTTTCCGAATCCGTTCTTTCGAAATTCTTTTTCGAAATCCGACAAGATAGTTTTAATTAAAATTTCAGATATTCGCTATAAGAAAGTATTATGAAAATGTCTTAAATTATTTATAACATTTTAGCGCCTTGAATTGGGTTTATGTAATTAATTTTATATCTAATTTGAAAAAAAAATGGTGTACACCTGAATGTAGCGGACCTGGAAAAGGAAAGCTATTTTTAAGGCAATTTAAGTGAATACTAAAACATTCTTTAAAAAGGATATTTTATAAAATTTTATTAAATTATTATTTTGTCATAAAAGACAATTTATTTGCACATTAAAAACGAGGAAATTTGTCTTGAATTGATAAAAAAATTTTCAAATTGTTTCATTTAGTTACTACTTGATATATAAAAACTTTTAATATTTCAATGAGTTACTCCTAGTTTATGTGATCTGTGCTACTGGTATTTTCGTTAAGCTTATTTTCGCTGTTCGCGTTGTACTTTGCAGTAGTAGTCCGGGAAGTTCTGCAAACTTCGGTTGAAGGTGTCCGCATCCGTTTTCGCACAAATGGTAGACTTTTCAATTTGGCTAGATTGAAAGCGTGTACCAAAGTGTCTTACGCCATGATCACAGAGATCATGTATGCCGATGACCTTTGCTTTTTAGCGGAAACCCCAGATGGACTTCAGCAGCTGATGTCGCGTTTTCATCAGGCTTGCTGCAAATTTGGCCTAAATATTAATGTCAAAAAGACGGAGGTGATGTCCACAGACATGCATGGTCATGAGACATTGTCAATAAAGCTTGGTGAGGATGTGCTTCAGCAAGTTGATAAGTTCTGTTATCTGGGGAGCACTATAACATCTAAGTGTGACCTTGATGCTGAGATCAATAGCAGGTGGCATTGAGACATACTTAATGCGTCGCCAGCTTCGGTGGTGCGGACACGTCTCGCGAATGTCGGAGGATCGAGTGGCGAAGCGTATCTTTTATTCAGAACAGCAGGAGGGTAAGCGAAAACCAGGCGGCCAACTCCTCAGATACAAAGTTGTTCTGAAGCGGCATATGAAAAGATGCAACATTGAACCCTCGAAGTGGGAAGGTTAGGCGGCACAGCGCCCTGAATGGCGTAGCCTTGTTCTGAGGCAGGTTCGCGTCTTCGAGGATCAGCGCAAAACTGACCTCGATGCTAAGCGCGATGACTTAAAGGCTCGACCACCTGCAGCCATTCAGTATAATTATGTTGATGGTAAACTCACGTGCGCCTGGTGCGCACGGGAGTTTAATAAGAAGATCGGCTACATGAGCCACCTTCGCGCGCATCAGCGCCGGGACAACTAGGAGTTGAAGTGGTCGCCAAGACCGAAAACGGTCGGAACACACACACACAAGCTTAGATATTATCTGTAGTGATTGTCACCTGTCAATGTCATTTGTCAAACTTTCGTAATTAAAACACGTCATGCAAAAGTCCACTAATTCAATTTGATTTCAAAATATTTATTCTAGAAAGTATCATGTAAGTAATTTTTGTCAACATTTAAATTACAATGAGAATTAAATCACAACTGTTTAAAAGATTTAAATTAATAACAGAAGATTATGATTAATTACAGCAGTGCAATTTCGTAATATTTTCAGAGCGGAAATTGTTATCGAGTTTGTGTGGGATTTAAAAACGAATATTTTATAAATTAACTGCGATGGATCCATTGATTGATGAAACACAAGGGGCCGTGTTTAACCCCATTACTATAGGTAAGTTTATGCTTATTTCGATTTCAAGGTTGACATTAATATTCTTAAAGGTTTAATAATTATTATATTCAAAAAACATGTTTACAGGATTAAATTAAGTGACCATGATCAATATTTTTCTTTATTTATGTATTACGCTTATTTGATTAAAATCTGAATAGTGCATTGCTGTAGTCTATTAGAATATGAATAGTTTTCTTTTACATTTACACTCTTAATAATTAGCTTTATTTATTTTTTATTTTTTCTTCAAACGGTGTGCAGGTTGGGGGTAAGTATGTTTTTTATATATTTTTTGTTATAGAAACAGTTTTGAGACCAAAATTTTATAATATTTACAGAGTTAAATTATGTTTTATTAACATATTAAAGTGTAAAGTTTGAAAATTATGTTTTAGGAACCATTTTGCTGCTTGACCTACTTTCCACTGTGGGGTGAAATAAATAATCTCATCTATTTTATTTGGAACTCACAAATTTAACACACTCACACAGTTCTGTCACATATCAAAAACATGTCTTAGTAAGATCCGATTACGATATGGTTGATCTGAAAGCTATAACTTTTCAATTGGTTATTTAAACCCGGAAACTTGTAACCCATAGGGATTGTTGGTAAACCTTAATCCGGGGTTCGAAACAATATTATCATTGATAATTAAATATAAATAAGTATATTTAGGTTGATAATTATCTTTCATAAATCAAAAATATAATCGAAAATATTTAATTTGCAACTATTCTAATTGTCAATCAGCAAACTGAACTCTCTCAATCAGCTCAAAAATCAGCAAACTGAGTTAATACAGTTGAGGAGGATGAAGATGATATTCCACTCATTAATTTAGTTAAATAATGTCTTGTATGTATGTAATTGGTTAAATTTATTCTGTTTTGATTTCCTAGTTTGTATATGTTAAAGTTTTATATTATGCAAAAAAATAATAAAAGATTTATAGATTGTTAAAAGATATATTTATCTTAACAATTTCATTCTCTGTGGATTAGATCTCACAATTTTTTGAGGTAGAAGAAGTGTGTTGTGTGACTTGCATTTTTTCACATGTTATGTTTTTGATGGGATATTTATTTACAGGACTGCAATTCCTAGCAAACTATGGGTGGTACTTAGTAGGGGCTGCAGTAGCATCTGTATATTTATTACAGAAGCTTAAACCGAAAGTGGATACTTGGAAGCAAGCAAGAGAAGACGCCGAGTACCATAAAGGTAAAATTATTTTTCTATAGTATACTAGAATTGCCCGCGGCTCTGCCCGCGTTCAGATGACTAAAATCAAATTCTTAGGTTTTACAGATTTTTTCTCAGAAATGAGATGTTTTCCTGCGGTAAAAAGTATCCTATATGTTGAACCGGATAACCAGCTATCACCATACCAAATTTCATCAAAATCTCTCCAGTGGTTTTTCTGTGATGCGGTAACAGACAAACGGACAGACAGATAGACAAAAATTCTAAAAACTATAGATTCGGCCTTTGTATCTATAATAATGTCGATTTCAATAAGATTTTCCTAAAAATATTTAATGTGCAGATTCGGCTTAGTTACAATTTTATTAAATGTATAGACTAGTGAATTACCCCTGCTTCGCTCGGGTGCGTCGCTAAGCTTGAATGCTTTAGGAACGTATAAAATACAAATGAAAAATTCTTTTTTAACAATTTAATATGTACATAATTTAATTAGATTTACGTGAATGAATATTTGACGTATTGAAAGTATTGTAAGCAAGTAAGAAATCAATCGGTCGATCAGTCGGTCGACCAGTCGGTCAATCGTTCGTTCGATCGGTCGGTTTATCCGTCGGTCGATCAATCGGTGAATCAATCGGTGGATCAATGAGTGAATCAATGCCCCCAGCGGGACTCAAACTCGTGACCGTTGGTGTTCCAAGTAGTGTAACTACAAACTGAGCCAAACGAGTCGTATAAAATAATCTTTTATACTATCTTTTAGATGTCATGATCTCTCCCGCGACCATGTGCGCTGTTAAGCATTCGAAACGTCGGGAGCCAAAAATTTTAATAAATCTGAAAACATTTTCAAAATGGATAGATATTTATGTATATTTTTTTGATTAATTTCAGATCCGGATAAGGCATTATCTCGTATGGAGGCAATACAACGCGCGCGGGAAAAGCAACAAGCTATGCTCGAAGCGGCTTCTCTAAGGGCTTTAGAACAGCAAAAAGAGGTATTATATTAACTTTTATAGTAACCGGCGGTTAATAAATTAAATAAAATATTAATTAAAAAAAAATGTTGGGACATTAACACACAGCACCATCTAGTTCCATGGTAAGCTACGAGGCTTGTGTTATGGATACCAGATAGTTGATACACTACAATATATAACTTTTAATAAATACATATTATAAATATAAACACCCATGACTGGAGTACAGGGGTGCACGAAAGGAGCCTCCCCGAGCGACGTATACAACGTATACAACCTATACGTCCGGCGCACCCTGGGCTATCAGAATTTATTAACGCTGATTGGCTAATCCTTTCACCACGATGGCAATCGAAGGTCCACAAAACCTACTTTGGGTATAGTCTCAATTAACATCGAAGGGTTCTTAGAAAACAAATCAGACATTCTTTCTGATCTATACCGCAAAGCACAATGCGATATTTTTTGCGTCCAAGAGACCCATCGAGATGAAACCCAAAGTCGGCTACACATTCCTGGACACTGGCAGGAATTGCGCCTCCAAAAGTGCGTAGAGCAGTGGCGAGCTCCAGTGAAAGTACGAAAATGGAACAAGACACGCGACACCCCATGCACGACAACATACTGGTGCCACAAAGGCTAAAAAGCCGTAAAAGTTTTATGAAGTGTGTCTTACTTCTTGGAGATGAACAACCACAGGCAAGATGCAGGATGTGGCGGGACAGTTATGGTCCTTTGCCAATCCCATTCGTTCCTCCGTCTGAGAATCTTGCGCTTGGACATAGTTTACCTCGGCAGACCTGGAAGTCTCTCAATAGACTCCGGACTCAGGTTGGCCGAAGCAAGGAAAACTTGTCCAGGTGGGGATTTTCAGCGGGCGGTCTGGAGTGTAGATGTGGTACTGTTCCACAAACGATGAGGCACTTACTTGCAAGCCCTGCTTTCCCTGTTACTTGCAACTTACAGGAGCTTATGGACGCCACTGACAAAGCAACGATCGTGGCTGAGTTTTGGGCTGACTCCATTTAAAACTTGCCATCGATACGAGAAGAAGAAGAAAAAGACTGGAGTACAAATATTCGTGCTCATCACACAAATGAATGCCCCTAGCGGGACTCGAACCAGCGACCGCTGGCACAGCAAGTAGGGTCACTATGAACTGAGAAAAACGTGTCGTCGAAAGATACAATTAAAAATCTCTCGCAAGAGAATCAAAACCTATAGGCTACTTCCCGTTGACGTAGAACCATGACATTTAGCGAGAAGCAATGTCTTACAGCACAAGCAAAGGGAAAAATCTCAAAACAGTAAATTTGTGGTTACACAAAAAAAATATTGCAAAAGTAATCACAAATTATACAAAAAAAAACACAATATTTACCTTTAACATCTTCATATTATATATTGTACATATATCTTAATATATAAAATCCGTGTCACGTTGTTTGTACGCGATGATCTCCGAAATCACTTATCCGATTTTAACGTATATTTTTTTTTAAATGTGCAATTTGTTCCAACTTAAAATAGGGGATAGTTTTTATCCCGATTATTTCTTTTTTTTATTGCAAAATTAATTTTCTTATCCGGAATGAGATTCCGGGGAGAGAACCTGAGAAACGGCTACCGAAGAGTTCAAATTAGGCTTTAAACCATTTTTTTTGATTTTACATTTTAAATATTTCACGTTTGAACATAGATCGTTATAAATAATTAAATTACGAAGCAACGCGTGTCCGGGTCTGCTAATATGTATATAAGTTAGTGCCACCAGCTGCCTCGGTGGTGTAGTGGCTAGCATGTACAGCTGCACACCCGGAGGTCCTGGGTTCGAGTCCCGGGTCGGGCCAAGTTTAGTTATTGAGTTTTTCTGTATAGTAAGCCTCAGTAACAGCCCGGAGTTGGGAAGTGGGCGGTGTTTCACCCCCGTGCCTCGGAGAGCACGTAAAGCCGTCGGTCCTGCGCCGACACTCTCACTGGTCGTGTCTCGCGTCGTCCCACCAGAGTATGAGAGTGACAGGAATAGAGAGTGCACGTTGTGTCTGCGCGTACACTTGTGCACTATAATATCTCCTGCGCAGTTGGCTAGTCTCAATGAGATTGGCCGCCGTGGCCGGAATCGGTCAGGAGGAGAACATCATATAAGTTAGAATTGGTTTGAGTGTCTATACTAATATTATAGATACTCAAACCAGAGCGGGCGAGAGAGAGAGAAGAGGCAGTTTGTCTGTTAGAACGCACTAATCTCAGGAACTAGTAATCCGATTTAAAAAAAAATATTTTTGCATTACATAGTCCGTTTATTGAGGAAGGCTATTATAGTCTACATATCATCATGCTACTACCTAAGGGAGCGGAGTAGTAATTATAAATGTCAACAAATCGGACAGACTTCCATACATTATTATTAATAGCATAAATCCAAAAAGCCTTTTTTTTGTAATTTTAGCGCGAGCGAAGCCGCGTGTTTTGCTAGTAATATATAAATATTTTCTTTATTTCAGCGTGAAGAGAAAAAACGTCGAGAAGCCTTAGAAAGGCTGGAGAAATATGGGAATGCAGCCAAAGGAGAGCGTTTAGGATCTGATGAAGGTACGTGCAAACAAACATATATTACTTGGTTTTCTTTATTTATTTTTAAATTAAATAAAAATATGCATTTTTTCGTGGAATTATTTTGATTTTTATTTATTAAAAATGTCAAATATTCGCGTATACCTAAGGAAAGTATTTTTTGCGCTCCGTTAAACGTAACAGCAGACACCGGCGGGGCAGCGGGCACAGCCCCACCATCACCAGCTACGGCGAGCGGCCCTTACATGACGGAACTTACATTTGAGAGCCGTGGCCGACAAGACGACCTAAAAATACTTAATTTGCCTTCCCTACTCCTTTGTAAACGACAAAACGACGATTGTACCAGCATTAAATATATATATATATATATATATATATATATATATATAATATATATATATATATATATATATATATATATATATATATATATAATATATATATATATATATTATATATATATACAGTCCGATCTTTATTTTTGCGTCCACCAGGACTCTTATGGCCGATTTCACCAATTGTCACCTAAGTTTAAGGGATCCCCTAAGCATGGTTATGGCTGTTAGGGAACAGTTTCTGTTTCACCGACAGTTAGGAGTCACCGAAGTGTTAAAATGCCACCTAAATATAGGTACTAGAAATAGGGGCTCTGACGACGGTAAAACGAAATTTAATTTAGGGGCTAGTTTTGAGGAATTTTAAGCTAGGGATGCCATACGGTACGTGCTTATGGGTTGTTGGTGAAATCGGGCATTAACATATTAAATATATGTTTTTTTTTACAGATTATCTACCACTTAGCGGTGGTGCGTCGACATCTTCATACAAACCTCCTAAACGCTCTGCTTGTGCCCGCGGCGGATGTGGACGATAAAAAAAACAAGAACAAAAAAAAAAAGAATTGCCAACAGTTAAAGCTAATCTATTTGTAATCTGTGACATATAATAAATATTTAAAAGTTTAACATTTTTATTTTTAGTCAATATCTTTATTGGTACGGGATCTGTATTATCGCCTTTTTTTTAAATATTAGGTTGTCAAATTTTTATTTGGACGTAGTTATGCAAAATGGATCCAGCCCACGAAAACCGTTTTTTGTGTTAGTAGTTACTGTCATAAATGGCATCTACATACCAACTTATATACAGAAAGTAGATAAAATACCCAATATTTAATAGGTATTTCAAAAAAAACTAGTCTTCTTATTTTGATATACCAATTTTACTAAAACTCTGTGTTTGAATCTATTTTGCATGACTACGTCCATTTGTGACTTCAAAGTAAAGGCATTTCAGATGAAGCGGACAGGGAAAAAAGTGAGGTTAGGAAATTTGTTCATATGCTGGTTATTTATACTTCTAGTAGGTATCAAAGTGGATACGTAATATTTATTTTCTACGATGTTTATTTTTAAAATTATGGGCCTTTGAAAAATAATCATAATCAAAATTTCGATGTTTTAGATTTAATTTTTCGAATGGGGGAAAAAATACAAACAACTATTAAACTTGGCGTTTTGTATAGGTTTTTATTTGCTCTTTTTAAGAAAGAAATAATTTTTTGAAATTTAAAAAAAAATTATGTACAAAACCGGAATTGAAAATTTTTAAAACAATTTTTTGATCACTTCGACCATTTTTTTTTTAAATTATTTTTACACCCCAATATAGCCTATAGTATTATTAAAAAACACTAAAAGTTTCATAGTGGAGTCTCTATTACTTAGAAAGGTGGGTAAAATAATGTACATGCATGTCGCTCTGAGCATGATGCATTCATACTTCTATTTTTAAAATGTTGTGAGGCACCATCGGTTATGTAAGTAATTTTTGACGCTACTACGAGTATTCCATTTTCTAATAGGGGCTTGTGTAAGGTTTTTATGCCGGAAATCATCCCTTAAGGGGGTGAAAATGGGGATGAAAGTTAGTATTGGGAAGGAAGCTAGGGATGAACCGCTAGGGTGAGTCGCTAGTTCTATATATGTAGATAATATCGTTTTTTATTTCTTTATATAATTTCCTTGAAACATATTACTGTAATAAACCATTTCTGTAATAAGAGTATTATGACAATGCAAGGAACAAAATTGTAACCCTGTATTATGACATCTTAAAATTTTCCTCAATTATTTTAATTCCAAATTCAAATTTGCCATAATAATGAGTTACAACCTTGTTCTTTGCATGTGTCAATATTTTATTTTTAAATATACTATTTTTGAAAGAGTTAAATCAACTGGTAACTAAACAACTAACTGACTTATTTTACTAGATTTTTTTATGTCTATTTTAATTATTTAAATTATATTACTGTCTTTCTCACATTATAGTACAATATTGATTTTTATTAACTTAGTTTAAAAAAAAAATTGTCTCAAATATTTTCTCGATAAATAGCTTTTTAAATAGCACCTATTATAAAAAAAATGTTAGAATAGTGATGTAATTTTAAGCATAGTTTTAGTAATATTAACAACTACTAGTTATCTAATAAAAAAAATTTTTTGTACAACAATATCTTTTACTTCTCCTTATTTAAACAATTTGTTCTATAAAATATAACTTTAACAAAATTATCCGACTATATATAACTTGAACTGATTTTTCCACTCTTATGAGTGTAGTTGTTTTGGAATACATATCTAATACATTAAAAAAAGAATTGCTTATTTTTTAAAGTTGGTTTTAAGGGGGCAGGGAGGAGTGGGGACGAGGGAGGGGGGGGGGTGTCTTAGGTATTTCCTTCGTATTATTAAAAAAAAATACACATTTTGAAAATGTAACGTGTATAAGTTATAGAAAACGTATAGTTTTGTTATTATTAAAAAACTGATGAACTTCCTTGAATTATTTACGCCGCACTAAGGGTTTATTTTGTTTTTTAGATATCATTTTGGTTTTTTTTTCTATCGAGGAAACTACAAGTAATCGTGTTTCTAAAGTGTAAGATTTATAGAATAAATCCTTAAATATCCAACATATTAGTTGCATAATTATAGTTTTAGTGATGTTCTCCCGACTGATTCCGGCTACGGCGGCCAATCTCATTGAGACTAGCCAACTGCGCAGGAGATATTATAGTGCACAAGTTTACGCGCAGACACAGGTGCACTCTCTATTCCTATCACTCTCATACTCCGGTGGGACGACTGCTCGACACGACCGGTAAGAGTTAAGGCGCAGGACCGACGGCTTTACGTGCTCTCCGAGGCACGGGGGTGAAACACCGCCAACTTCCCAACTCCGGGCTGTTACTGAGACTTAGTATACAGAAAGACTCAATAACTAAACTTGGCCCGACCCGGGACTCGAACCCAGGACCTCCGGGTGTGCAGCCGTACATGCTAGCCACTACACCACCGAGGCAGTTAAAATAGTTTTAGTAATAACAATACAGCAAGGGATCAAACGAACGTAATTAAAAGGGTGCGCCCTTAACGTGGCTTGCCTACGATCCTTAACAAATAGAACTCATAAAACAATAAATACTGACATATTATGATTCTATGACATAACGATTAAATATTATGTTAGCAGAAATATGTTATCGAAGATAAGTTAACTCGGATACCTAATATATTTAAATCGGATCGGTCGGATACGAAGTTTTTACTTTTGTTTTTTTTTGTATTTATTCAAATTTTTAGTTTGTTTTTTATAAATGTTTTTTTGGCCAAAAACTCCGAGCGAAGCTCGGTCGCCCAGGTATTGTTAATTCTAATACGGTATCATGGATATGTTAAAGCGGACATGTTAACATGGATATGTTGACACGGATATGTTAACATGGATATATTATCGCGGATATATTAGCCCGGATTTGTTTATATGGACATGTTAGTCCGGATATGTCATCACAGATACATTATCCCGTATATGTTAACACGTATATGCTAGCTTTGATATGTTAACACCAATATATTAGCCCGGATATGTTAACACGGATATGCTAGCCCGGATGTGTTAAAATGGATGTTAGCACGGATATGTTATCATGGATATATTAACACGGATATGTTAGCATGGATATGTTAAAACGGATGGATTTGTTAGCCCGGATATGTTGACAAGGATTTGTTATTCAGGATATATACTAAAACGAATATGTTAAATCTGCTGTCGTAGCACGGATGTGTTCGCACAGATATTATCTTGATCATTGATAGCGGGTTAGAGAGGACTGTATGTTTGCCGGACCAGGCAAACGCAATGCACAAAAAACTAAAAAACTAAATTGAAACTAAAACATATAGATATTTTACCCTCGCTTCCTTCGTATAAACTTACGAGTTCATAAATGTCAATATAGAAAAAAAATATATAAACATTTTCAAATGTACTGATTGATTTGTGCGATTTTTCAAAAATATGAAATTTGAAACGTTTATTTATAATATAAATTGAATTTACGTATCTCTAACTTGGTTACGGATGGGTTCCATATTTCATCTGTAGATTTTTTGCGACAGAATAGCCTATCTTTCTCAAAGGTTCTATCTTTCAAGGCAAATATTCATCAAAATTGATTCAGTAGCTTAGGCATAATGTAAACGTAACAAACAGATAAACAAATATACAATTACTGTAGCATTTATAGTATAAGTAGAGATTTCACTCAGGCAAAGCCGGGGCAGATCACTAGATATTACTATCACCAAGCAATCAAATCTCAGCATCTTGCGGTTGAATAATGAAATAAAACTATTGTAATTTTTCTATTGAACACTTTTTTATTTCGTATCGGTTTCGCCGTCATCACGCTTTCTAAAGTGTTCAAAGAAAATAATAAAAAACCAAGATTGCATATTGTAATCAATCGAAAGAGCGACTTGTTATTTGACATGGCTTTACTTGTGTTTTGTTACATTTGACTTCTCAGTTGACCTATATAGATATAAGCGATATTCGTTTATTATATACAATAACTCTAAGAAACACATTTTAAATAAAACTATCTTTTCGCGCGTTCAAATGACCAAAAACCGAATTCTTAGGTTTTACATATTAGTATATATACTTACTCTATAACATTGCAGTTTTCCTAATTTTTCTCAAAAATAAGACATTTTCCCGCAGTAACAAGTATCCTATATGTTGACCCGGATAACCAGCTATCACCATACCAAATTTCATCAAAATCCAGTGGTTTTTCTGTGATGCGGTAACAGACAGACAGACAAAAATTCTAAAAACTATAGATTCGGCCTCTGTATCGATAATAATGTCTATTGCAATAAAATTTTCCAAAAAAATATTTAATGTACAGATTTGACTTAGTTACAATTTTATTATATTTATAGATGGAATTTGGTTCATTAACACACAGCACCATCTAGTTCCATGGTAAGCTACGAGGCTTGTGTTATAGATACCAGACAATTGATATACTACACATATATAACTTTAAATACATACATATTATAAATATAATATGGATAGCCTTCCTCAATAAACCGAATATCTAATCCAAAATTATTAGATAATTGTTGATTTGTTTTTTTTTATTTCTACAATTGATTTTAAAGTTATAAAAATCTGAGTGATTATATAAGTATGCCAGAGGAGCCACAGGCTAAATCAAGTATAGAAATAATTTATAAGCCTTGAGGAAGCTGTCGTTAACACATTATATTTGGAAGTCGGTTAAAATGGAAATAATGCAAATTATAAGTAAAATCACGATCTCTATTATAAAGTTAATAAGATTTTAGTTTCTTAATCTTAGTTGTGCTTGCGTTGAATTTCCACAGTTTATTTTACGTAAGCTACAATTTCGTAGATCTACGAGTATCTATCTAATATATTTAAACGAGCAATTCTTGTATACTTATTTATTTACTAGCATTGCCCACGGCTTCACCCGCGTTC